TCCCTAAGCTGTAAGCATTAAGTATAAGACAACTTTTTATCTTTTTCTCTACTTCAAGATATTAAATGAGTTCAATGGTAATGTTTATCATATTTTAATTCGTTTTGCAGGAAGGAAAAAACTTGGTTAAAGAAATAAATGAATTTTTGTGATAACTCTAAGAACTACAAAGTTGAGAAAAGGTTGAAGGTGTGACTTTTCTGTCAAGAAACTATAACTGATAAAAGGAATTCTTAATTGAAAAGGTTAAGGAAAAAAGTCTTTAAAACCATAAAAATATTTCCCATTTTATCTAACTAAAAACTTGCCTTAAAAAACTTAAATTCTTGCTCTTCTTAATAGTAAATAATAAAGTGTCACTTTGCTCAGCATTACAAACAATAATGAAGGCAAAATGCCAAGTTTTTAAGTGATTTTGGGGCGTGTTTGCCCGGGAGGCAGCGAGTAAACATTCCTAATTGCAACAACAGTGCCGGCAAACAAGCAACGGCCAGGAATGTACGACAACCAAAATGAAGCGAAAATATTTGCATTCCGTTTTTGCGGCCATTCCCTTGTCTTAGCTTTCCCACTCAGTTGAAGTGGCGTGGCAGGTCGTACTTTGGCCTATATATATTTTGCTTTTGTTTCCTTTTTTCTGGCACTTTTTTTGGACTTTGGGTTATGTACGTCCAGTAGGATGTGGCACGTAGCCGAAATAGCTAAAAAAAAAAGGTTACGTTTTGGCCATCTGCAGTTTTGCAGGGAATTGATACTGCAATATCCGGCAAGAACATGTTCGATTTGAATCTATTAAGTTTTGTTTTTTAGTGCTTAGTTTTAGGTAGATTTATAAAAGCACTTTTGGAAATTATGATTAATTTGAAGAGATTAGGAGGAGCTCAAGTTATTTAATTTTGGCATTTTATTAGATGTTACAAAAAATACTTTGAAATTTAAAAATAAAGTTTAATAAAATTTAAGAAATTTTTAACTTAAACCCTCAAAAGATTGCTCTACCATTCCTTTTTTTGATTTTCTTGACCTGTTTTTTATTATTATTTCGTTTTTTAGTTTTCTTTTAACATCAATTAACCATCTTTTCAATATTTTTTCATAGTACTAATCTTCATTTTTAACCAATCAATGAAACAAAAGCAGCATTTCCCAAGCTCTGATTTTGTACTCTTTGTCTAAAGGTAATCTAACACTTTTGTTTTTGATTTCCACACAAAAATAATTGAAAAAAAAGGAGAACAGGAAAAGAAATTAATTAGGCGTTGGTTCTATCTCTCACACACACATTGTACCCATTGTTTAGTTTGAGGTCAAGGGTTAAACGTATACACTCATTCTGGCCGTATTTGCTTACGTGCCTGAGCCGACGACCCTCAAAAACAATGGACTGGCATTGTTTTTCATTGTTGTATTGCCTCCCGCGCGGGGTCAGCACAAGATGTAGATTATGTGTTTGCAAAATGTGGAGGGAAAGATTTATATTTATGCGCTACCCTGCGCTACTCATTATCGAAATTATGAATTATGCATTCAGCGTTGGCCTTTCAGACCACCCCCACCAAAAAACTAATTTGAATATAAATTTAACTCATAAATATATATAAGATGCTTTCCTGCAGACGGCGCCAATGTAATGCTTGTTTCTTGTAACTAGCATAAAGCAAATAATCAACAAGGAGGCCAACTACTCAGCCGAACAAGTCGACATCAGGTCAAGCAGTCAAGACAACAACCGCAAGAACAGCAACTGTTTTGGGAAAACTTCAAGTTTTATGGCCAAAAACGTAGGGAGGGTAAGGGGCACAGCCTTATGCCGCCGGTTAATATTTAAACAAAAAGTTTTGTTGTCCGTCTTTTCCTTGTTGCAACATTTTTTTTTCCTTTCTTTTGCTACTTTTCCGGAGGAGGCAAGGATACCCTCATAATCATCATCGGCGTCATAAACAGGCATCGGCATCACCATCTTGGCCTTCGGGAAGGTCTTTTCTTTGGCGGCTTTGGCATAAATTATGCCGCTAATTAAGTGTCTGTGAAGCTGTTAATAACAAAATGAAGGGCAATTATCAGGAAAGGCGGCAGAAAAACTGTAAGATAAAAGCTAAGCAGAAATACTTGAGACTTACTGGCAAGTATTGTCTCGGCTTTGGTGTTTTTGCTTCAAAGTTTTTCTTTTGGTTTTCTTTGGTAAGATGTGGGTTCTTTCAACTATTTATTGATGGGTGACATTTAGTCAAGGAATATATACAAAGAGTATTTCTAAAGTATTATTTTTAAGCAAGAAAATATGAAGAAACCTCAACGGTTGCGTTTTTAAATGGGTTATATAGCGATGAAGAGAAGCTTTCTCATAAACTTTATAGTGATGAAGGGAGGCGCCCTCATAAAATATTTAAAATAAATCTTAAAAGGTAACCAAATATACAAATAGGAAAAATCATTTTGCTATCCTTTTTGCAGTTCTGTTTTTTAATCAACACCCGGATGTATGCTTCAAAAAATGTAACATTGCGTTAAACGATTTTAAATATTTATTTACCTTCTCGTTATTTACATTCCATGTTCATATTAATCCCTCTAAAACCTATTAATATTAATTTAAATATAAATAAACAATCAGGCCCATCTATTAGATATCTCAATAATCCTTAATCAGCCCACATTAAGCATTTATAGACATAAATAATGTGCGATTAATAAATAAATATTATAAATGCATATTTAAAATGTGCAACAAAGCTGCACTTTTTCGGGGAGACAATAAAAAAGCCGCACTGTTGCCATAAAATTTGATATCATTTGCTGTTGCGCCAAGCTGCCAATAGCAATTAAACGCAATTTGTCCAGAGCGTGAAAAAAGACACGTTTTTTGCCAGAACCACAAGGACGAGCATCGGGAAAAACAGCCAAAGGAAATCAAATTTAATGGCATGGCAACAGTATATATAAAAAAAAAACAGACAAAAATTATATTCAACTTTTTTTCACAGTGTCCCCACCCGCCGATTATAAAAGTTGCGAAAATGTGTGAAAAATAGTGGCCGATTTTTTTCGGGGTGTGTTTGTGTGTGATTTCCTTAAAATTTCGAAACCACATGGAATGTCGAGTTCAAACAAAGTGCGAGGCGAAAAAAAAAAGTACCATAGGAAGAGCTGGCAAACTAAATTATGCCCCAGGGATGGGCGGTTGTGTGTGGCAAGGGGCGTGGCTCGATGAAATGAGCGGGACGTGTTAACCATCGCAGAAAATAACAATTTATGGGCCACCCTCAAAAAACAAAAAAGGACGACTCCATGGATGCTGATGATCATGGCCAAAAGGATGTGGCTGCAATCGGCAGCCAGTTGGCAGCTGTGCATGGCAAGTAGGTGTTAAATATTTAATGATTGCCAAAGCGCAAACAAGCAGGATTCACAGGATACGCTGGGTCCTGTTTCTGCCTCCATCGCCGTTGCAATTCGTTAAGTGCTCTGCACACACACACACACGCACACAGCAATCCACTCTATGGAGGATTCAAAGTGCATACAATTGCGGCACAAATTTATGCGCACAATTGGTCTGCCACGCCCATAATCAGAGCACTAGCTAACAGCACACGTGCCCGCCTTGCTAGGATCGTCAACCGCTCGACGACCGCAGAAACTAATTGAAATTGCCAGAGCAGTCAGTTGGCATTAGTTTGTTACCTTGTTCTAAGGCTGGCTGTGCTGATGAGCAAGGGGTTGGGTTTTCTTATAAAGAACTCTCGCATTTTGTTTTATGTAAATGGGTACACAGTGCGTATACGTAATGAATTTGCATGCCAGCTGGTTGGAGGGGTCTTAAGTTTGAAGCTTTTACCTATTATTAGTCAGCAGACTAATTGATAGTGATGAGAGGTACTTAAGAGGTTAATTAGTAAGATGTGTGATATGTTTAGTTTATGATTTAGTTTGTAATTTGGCATCAAGGCTTTAACTACTAACAAACATTACCATTTAAGCATCTTGAAATAAGAAGATTGTAAAACAAATCCTGAAAAATTCCTAATCTAAGCCCTCAATAAGCCAATTAAACAAAATTGCAAGCAATTACTTAACAGCAATATTGTTTTTGGAATTAAATATCCCAACCGATTTGATTTAAATTTCGTAATCAAACTTCTGGGAAATAAAACCAAATCGATTTGCTAACCAAGCCCCGTTTTTCCTAGAAATCAATCTATTCCGAAGCAAATGATTCACTTTGTTTTTATAAGCAATTTATCTTTTTTTTTTTGTGTCGTTTTTGGACGAGCACTGAAAACAAAAATGTGACAACAGCAGGACTGCCAGCGATTTAACTTCGGAAAGAATATATATCTATATGGCCAATACGGAGATAAGGCAAAAACACACAGAGAAAGACCAACACACACACACACAGGGACGACAATCAATATGAGTACGGGCGAAAAACAATAAAATGGAAACATCAACTCGAGAAGTCATCAATGGAGGAAGGAAACGGAAAAGGGAGGTGGAGATGTAGATGGAGGTGGCTCCATCGCTGTTTGCCTCTTGGTTTCGTTTGTCTTTTTGCTTGCCCGGACAATGACAACAATGAGTAGCAATGGACCAAAATGAATGAGTCTATAAATAAATGAATGCAACGTTTCAATTTCGGTTCAATAGCTACGCTTAAAGACAAAAATAAATACAGACAAAAAATACGACCAATATTGGTCAATAGCGAGAAAAGCTCATATCAACGGAATTATACAAATTATCAAAATTGCTTTTTCGTTTATGTATTTAAAAGATGTTTATAATGATATTAGCGAATATTATTATTTGTAGAATTTTCAATAAATTTCATTACATTTAATATTCTAGTTATACAAAATACAGATATTTGTAAATTTGTTTAATATTTTTTAGATTTTAATAAAATTTTTGGTTAGAACTCAATTCCACATAGCAGCGCTTTCTTCAGACTCATTGATATATATCTAAAGATCATAACACATAGCTTCCAAACTCACCACACAGAATTTCTCGCTCTTCTTGGTGCACTCCTTCAGATAGAGATGGGCAATGTCCTTTGTATAGTTAGTGCAGGGCGTTATAGAGCCCACGCCCTCGTTGTACTGTCCACACATGTGGCACTTTAGGCCGTCGGCGAAACCCAAACTGCCGCTGCACAAGACGATGGCCACCAGAATGGCCAGGGCTTTTACATGGTAGCTGGCCGAAATCGATCTCGAAGATGCTGATGAGGATGATGATTCTGGATGCATATGCATTGACGAGCCCTTGTCCTCGTCCATGTCCATGCCCATGTCCATGTCCACGGCGTTGACAGCTGCTTTTGTTGACATTGCTTCTTGGTTGCCGCTCGACATTTTCATATGAGTTCTGACCTTTACCACAGAGTTCACACTCACTAGAATATACACACACTCACACACACTGACTGACTCACTGACAAATAGACAGACTGACGAACTGACTGTTTGACAAACTGATGCAATGACAGGCAAGACGGGTGCACTCACTAAAATTGCAAAATTTCACTTTGTTCTCCTAAGAGTGGAATTGTTACGCTTTTCGGCAGCCTTTGTTTCTGCTGCGGTTATTTTATTAAGACTTAATAAGACTTTTCTTTTTTGGTTCTTTTTCCTTTTTTTTTCAGCGGTTATATTTCTTTGAAAAAGTTCTGCCAAAGGTCGACGAAGGTGTTACTGGTTAAATGTTAAAATTGAGAAATGTTATACTGCGGTGTTCTGTTGTTTTTAGAAAGGTAAGAAGATCAATTCAGGTGAACTTTCTTAACGTAAGTTGTAAATATTTTGCAGTTAAATATTAGTTTTGTATGTCTATACTTTAAAATAAAAACTTCTGCTTAGGTAGGGCAAAAATATAGGCTTAACTAGCTAGGAATTCTGATTCCATAGCCAAAAAAGAATGTTAAAATCGTAAAATTCCTGAAAATGGTTAATTTTTTAGCATTAAAAGAGATTCTTTTTTGACACCACAACATTTCAAGATAGACAGTAGCAACTTTCGCACTTTCCACCAATATAATTTGATCTATTTGCTGATTTCGATGCCGAGAAAATCACAAAAGCCTTCGATTCTTTGCTAACTTTTGTTGCATGCACCTTTTGTTTGGAATGTTACAAATTGCCAGCAGCTGCCACGCCCAGTTTTTTCTCATTTTTTTTCTTTCTTTTTTTGGGGCCATAAGCATGTAGGCCACGACCGCACAGGGCCACACGTTTTTCTCGAAACTCGAAAAATTGTTTTCAAATTGCTTTTGTTGTTAGTTAAAATGCGCGAATGCGAGTGTGTGGGGGAGGGTGGTGCGAGGGCCAAAAGGTAAAGGGGTGTTTGAAAGTACTTTTCTATGCGTTCAGCTCTGAGTGTTTCCACGAATTTTTCGGAAAATGCGGCAGGAGGTAGCCAAAATCGTATTACGTTGCTCTTATTGTGTACTTTTGTTGCCTACTTTTGGGCTTTGATTTGATTTGCTGAAATATATATGAGGCTCCCGGGGAAAAATTGAAAAAAAAAAATACAAAAATTGGGGGCTGGATCAATTTGAGGCTTGCAGTTTTTGCTTTTGCTATTTGCTCTTTTATTCTGCTCGCGAAATCAGCAAGCCCTAGTATCACGCATTCGCCATGTGGCCCTCGCAGAAGCAGCCAATTAACGAGTCATTTCAGTTTCTTCCATTTTTTTATGTGCTTCTGTTTTTTTAATTAAACGAATGAATGCAACGAGTTTTGGCCCATCATAATGGGCGACCTTCCGCATTTGGTTCTATAGCAAATGCAATATTTTTTTCACATTTTTTTCCGCCGCTTCAATGGCAAACGTAATAACACAAAAAAAGGCAGAAAAATCGTCGATCTTTGGCTTAGAATATCAAAAAAAAAATATGTTTTTGTTATTTCTTTAAAGAAAGTTTCACTAAAGGTTAATTATGAATTCATAAGGTTTTAATCTTGATTTATATAGTTTATATTCTTAACTCGCAGTTTATAAATTTTCAAGATTTAATATTTATTTTAACTTGTTTTTTTTTAGGTTATTTGTTTTTTTCTCTTTCACAATCTAAATTCAAGCACCAACGGTCACTAACTTTTGAATTATTTGAATCTGAGTCCGCCCAACCGTGCGTTACGTTTGAGTTGAAAATGTTGACTGCAGTGCCAGAAGTTGAAGCCGCGGCCGTAGAACCATCAGCAAGAAGAAGCATCAACATCAGCAGCAGCAGCTGCCGACGGGGCGTATGAGCGATTCGATTCGGGTTTTGTCGGGTGACTTCGTATTGGTCCACTGACCCAGAGCTGCTCAAACTGTTTACTTCTTCATTTCGGTGCTAATGAAGGTCTGCAGCACAAATATTGATAGTCGAGGGAGTTGCAGGCATCATTTTATAGCTTTTTTTCAAATGCCATAATTAGGGTGATGAAATGCATGATGTTCATTAGGCAGTCAAAGTGAAATTATCTTTAACTGAGTTTAAGATACCTAAAGTTGAAAATATTACCAAAAAGATCATTTCATTAGAATAGAAAATTATGAAAATCATTCTTAAGTGGGCTTAAATAGAGTTCTGGTCGTTAAATTTATAAAATAAATCTATTGCTAAGGTATGAAATACTTTATTATTTTATTTTATATAGAAAATAAGTTTTCTCTGTTTTAATTTTTAACTTCATAAATATTTTTATTATCCTTCCCAAAGTGCATCTCTAAGAGATACAAATGTTTTAAAAAATATATAAAATTTTTTATTTTAAATCTACAATTTATCAAATCTACTTTCAGTAACATACAATTTAAATATTGTTTCCTATTATTTCAAATTACAGTTTTAAAAGTACTATAGCCAACAGTTTTATGAATACATGTACTTCCCACTGCTTTGAACTGCTTGAAAAGGCAGTACCAGGTGAACTGCTTACTGCCTTTCTTCGACGCCAGCACCAATATGCTAAATTTATTACTGCGAATATAACTTCCAAGATTTATTGACCGCAAAAGCCTTTATAATAATGATACAGATAATTAGCTTATCGCTACCCCCACGAAGCAAATAAAGGCTAGCTAGCAATCTGATTATTTATTAAGTGGTTTAATTTTCAATTTATTGAGCAATGTACTTTGTGACTAAGCCAATATGATTTGGTTGTGTTTGATCCAGTCAATGTACTGGCTGACCTTACAGTAGACACCCGGATAGGGAGCCACAGTGCAGGGTTTCGTGCTCCAGGACACGATGCCAACCTGCTGACCATTGTAGATGAGTGGACCACCAGAATCTCCGCTGCACTGACCTTTGCCACCCTCATCAACTCCACCACAGATGTGGTACTTTGGATCCGTTTTACCATTATGCCGTTCTGTGCACTCGTCATCGGAGTAAATCTTCAGGGACACCTCCTGCAAGGTGTTCTGGACATTTCCATTGGTCTGCAGAAACATGACTTTTAAATATTTAAAACCAATCCAAATCTTATACAAAACCCACCGCATTCAGTCCCCAACCAATGAGCACACCTTCAACTCCCACATCAGATTGAGGAACAGCAAATGCCAAAGCTGGCAATTCCACGGGAGCCACCGTGACCCCATCAAACTGGAAAGTTTCCTCCACCATCAGCAGCGAAATGTCATTGGCATTTTGACGTGAGGGATCGAAATCCTCGTGCTGGATGATTTTCTTTATGCCAACCACATTCGGACCGTGGACATTAATATCGGTCACTCCATACTGAATCGATAGCGTCTCGGCAGGACGTCCATTGGTGCAATGGGCAGCTGTCATTACGAACTGCTTGGAAATTATGGTGCCGCCACAGGAGTGGGAACCATCGTAACTACGAAGAGATACCTGGGTTTGGATCAAGAAAATCCAAGATTAATATAAATTAGTTTCTTAAAGGAATACTATTTTCAATAATTATCATTATTTTTAACCAAAATCTATCAAAAATTAAATAACACTTCACTTTTTTATATTTTTTCACCTTTTAACTATATCAACTTCTTAATCACTTAACTTCCTCCTTACCATAAATGGAAATTTCTGAACATTAGAATCCGTTCCATTCACAACTCTCGAAGTTGGGGGCGCGGCCCAACCAACTGTAGATGTGGCTAAAAGAACGATTACAGCCAGACTGAGATCCCGATTCGACGACATATTTTGTCTAGAAATGGCCCCCATGGGTTGGCTACCGCTTTTATAAGCTTGCCGACTTAGCCGAACCTTCACGATTGTTATTATTTACGATCCGAGATAGGGATTTTATTAAATCTGTCGTCATTGATATAAAACAGCACTCGTCTGAGTAGCAGTAAAAAAATATTTTAAAAAAAACTATCACAACGCAAGCAAATTGGCTTTCCCCAACATGTTTAAAAAGTGTTTGAAAAGTTTTTTTGATAAGCTACAAGTACTTTAAAGATTTATCAACTTATTACCATAATAGAAAACCATTTAAATTTTAATCAACATTAAATAATAATGTCAAAACTAATCACTTTAAAGACTTAACCATAATAAATTCCCAAAATCTAAAAATATTTCAGATAAGTCTATTTCCGGTTGTCTATCTACTACTTTCATAATTTATAAAATATCCCCTTGACTCATTTTTATGATTTTTTGCCAATCTAAAAATCCGGCAAATCCCAGTCTTGACTTGTCATCGATTTATGGCTCAAATAAATCACAACTTTAATCTTGATAGATCAGTTTTATTTATAACTCTTTCAGTATTGGCAGAGATAATGGGATGTCTATGCCAATATGATTTGGTTCTTCTTAATCCAGTCCACATACTGGCTGACCTTGCAGTAGACACCCGGATAGGGAGCCACAGTGCAGGGCTTGATGCTCCAGGAAACGATGCCCACCTGCTGGTTATTGTAGATGAGTGGACCACCGGAATCTCCACTACACTGACCCTTGCCGCCTTCATCCACGCCGCCACAGATGTGGTATCTGGGATCCGTGCGACCCTCGTGCCTTTCGGTGCACTCTTCATCTGAGTATACCTTCAAGCCCACTTCCTGCAGAGTGGTTTGGATAGTGCCGCCAGTCTGAAGGATATTTTAACTTATGATTAGTTCCCTTTCGTAAATATATAGAAAAAAAACCCACCGCATTAAGTCCCCATCCGACGAGCACTCCCTCACCACCAGCATCTGTTTGAGGAGTGGCATAGGCAAGATCAGGCAATGCCACAGGAGCAACGGTAACGCCATCAAACTCGAACGGTTCCTCCACCATCAGTAGAGAGATATCATTGGCATAGTTGTTGTAGGGATTGTAATCCTCGTGTTGGATGATTTTCTTAACGCGCACAACGTTCGGACCAGCGGAATTAATTGTGGTAACTCCAAACTGGATGGACAGATCCGTGGCCTTTCGGCCAGCCGTACAATGAGCAGCGGTCATCACAAATTGCTTGGAAATAATGGAGCCACCACAGGAATGGGAGCCAGTAGATCCACGCATCGAAACCTAAGAGAGGTAAGTAGGTAATCCATTTGGTATTCCAAGGTAAATTTTGTTTCCTTCCTCTCGAATGATAGTCAACTTACCACGAAAGGATATTTCTCCACGGTGGAATCGGTGCCATTGACCACACGACCCAAGGGAGGAGCGGCATGGCTAACGCCAGCGATTGCCAGAATGGCGATCACCGCCAGACAAAGATCTTCATTTCGCGACATTTTTTGGCTAAACATGCGCGTTCATTGTCCAACAGCCGCTTTTATAAGTTTCCTGACATTGTCGATAGTGAATGATTACGATTATTTACGGCGATTGATAGGACGAGATTATACCTGTTCGAATACACGAGAGCGCCACTATCGCCTTATCACCACTAAGAAATCAAACGACAATGGTTATGGTTATCTTTAAACGATTTTAATCAAATTAAGCACAATGATAATAATGAAATACATAAGCGGCGGACTTGACCAGCCTGGGAATGTGATAGTTCTCATTGAAGTGCGCTTAAATAAAAGAAAAACATAAAAGGTTTAAAACTTAACAACGGATTAAAGCCGCAAAACAAGTGGGTCAGTATACAAGTAGGAAGGCCATCGGTGTTAGGACTTAACAAATACAAATACTAACAACATTAGAACAGTTTTAAGGAGCGGTACAAATAGCGATCATGGTTCTGCTGTACATAGAAAGCGAATCTAGTATAGACATTTGTATATCTGTATATTGTATATATATATTATATATGTATATAAGATCATAGAAGGCTACATGACTAAGCGATGCTCTTGGGACATCGACCTACAAAAATACTCTAACAAATGCGCACCAGGCGCTGGAAATTGCTCATCGAATTCAAATCTAGATTTTATTTGACTACTGTATGCTGCAGCTGCGTACCGTGGATAGCTTCTGCTCCTCTTCATCCATATGCTTGGCGCTCAAAATGCTCTTAATGCTCTCCGCCTCCTTCATCCAGAATTCCAGCTAAAAAAAAGTTGTGATAGGTTAATATGTTTGTAATAAAATGATTTCAGCAAACCTGTTGCAGCAACAGATTCCTCCGCTCGCCTTTTGGTTCATTATTGACGAACGGCACTAGAATGCCCAACGCTGAGGTATACGACTCCAATGCCGCATCTAGCTTACGCTCGTAAAGATATAGCTCGCCTTTCCTTCCGATTTCCAGGCCAGTCTTCAGGGACGGACTTGAGTGCGAAAGGGCAACTAAAATGGAGGATTAATATTAACTTGTTCTTGAAAATACGTTTCAAGTCGTACATAGCTGCTTATAGCGGGAATCTGGTTCCAGCATCTCTGCGACCCGCGAGCTGCTTGGCTGCGCATCCGGGGCCTGGACAGCTGGTGAAGGCTCTGTGGTTTGGTTCGCTGTGGCAGATAAAGCCTCTTGCCTTTGCCGCTCGGCCAGCATCCTGTACTCGTCCTCAATTATGCAATTCTTGATCTCCTCGGCGCGTTTTGTATACGACAAGGCACGATTGCGCAATGCCAGCCTCTTGGTGGCGTCTGCCTCTTCCGTGATTAACGGTACAAAATACTGCAGGGCACTGCAGTAGAGATAGTAAGCCTCCTTATAGTTGCGCTTCTCATCATACGAACACGCCTGAGTAACCAAATCGATGGCCTTTTGTAGGGTGTGTTCCGTGGGAAACGTTTTGAGATCAAGAAAGGGATGCGCAAAGAAATCTGCGAATGAAATGCGCGCCGTGGGCTCATGGGCCAAAAGGCGTCGCAAGAGATCGTGACACTCATTGCTGATACGGGCATTTGGTGGCAGTGTTATGGCCTCAGCCTTCCTGATCCTCAGCAGCAGCTCCTCAATGGTTCGCGAGCTATACGGCGCCTTTCCAAATAGACATTCGTACAGAATCACCCCAATGCTCCAGAGATCCGCCTTAGCATCATACTGATGCTTCCGCACTATTTCCGGTGCCATGTATAGTGGCGAACCTTTCAGCTGCTCATTGATTTCACCCAGCTTCAGGTGCTGAGCAAACCTATAAAATGGATGTTCTTATTAGTCTTAATAAGTAATAAATGATTTCGTAAGTTACCCAAAGTCTGCCACCTTAAGGGACACATTGTTAGCTCCCCGGGTAAGCAGAAGGTTCTGTGGTTTAAGGTCAAAGTGGGAAACATCATTGGCTCGCATGTACTGGACTGCTGCAGCCAACTGTCGCAAAAAGTAACGACAGGTGCTCTCTGGTAAAGCTTTCTTGGTTCGTATAAAAGCGGATAGATTTCCGGCATTGCAGTACTCCAAAACGATGTAAATGTTTCTAAAAGTGGGAAATGAAAGTTACAATTAGTTTTTCAATTAAAAAATAAAAAATGTTTTCGTGGCCTCTACATAGATCATAATTAGGAGCATTTCCCATAAGATTTTGCATAAACTGATCCCTCAATGTAACATAAATCTTGTGTTTCAAGCGATGTATCCACTAACAAGGTTTACCCCCTATACAATATATAACCTATGTATATCCTGCCAAACGGATGATTCATAAGTTGATTAAATGGAACGAAGTTTTACTTGTCGTCCCAGAAGAAATCCTGCAGGGTCACAATGTACTTGTGCTTGAGTTCCCTTAGGAGGCGTATTTCCGTGATTAGGTTTTCCCGCGAGGTTTGCGACAACGTTGACATTTCCACATATTTGATGGCGTGATAAGTGCGCTGTTTCTGCGAATTGATAAAATATAAATTTTAGACTTTTGGTTGCAATGCTTGTGTGGTGTGTATGTGTGTAAACTGGTGCCCCACTTTGTGCCGCGCTTTATAAACGGTGGCATAGCTGCCAGCTCCGAGCTTTTCGAGGATTTCGAAGTCCGTGATCCGCGGCAGTGACATGTTGGGCCGGTCATTTAGTTCTGATACTAAATATTTGAATATTTAAATGTTTATGTTTTCCATTGGTCGATTGTTTTTGCTGCTCCGTTGCTTATCACACACACAGGCGCGCGCAAACCAGGGGCTCACAATCGTTCTAGGTTACAGGGTTGAGTTTTCTAAAATCTATCGAAAGCAAAAATTTAAATAAAATTTAATAATTGCGCCACTTTATGTTCTGCCTTCGAATGTAATAATTTTGTTTAATATTAATTTTAAAAAAATAATAAAATCAATTTTACTTTAAGGTATGAGGATAAGGAGTTCTGCCTTTACAATTTGTAGTTTTTAAGAAAAAGACAAACTTTTCAAGTCTTTATTTTCCTGAACTATATATAATGATAATAAATGATGCTACAAAGATGTAAAGGTTTAAGGCTTATGATATATTCTAGAATCCACCTGATTATTATAAAATGTCTTATGAAGATATCTTAATAATAATACAATCTGTTATCCGATAAATATTTAAAATCTGCGCGCTCTTATAACAGGTGATAGGCCAGTGCTACCCAGCAATTACCTCATCGATAACACTTGTTGCTCTATCGGTATTTACTGTCTTTGGTATGCATCCCTGGAAATTACTAATCCCTGATTCGTGTGTTTTGTTTTTGATGCGTTGCGAGGTGATTAATTTTTCGTTTTTATAGAGGTAAATAAATGCAATGGACCTCAAATCATTGTTTTAGATAAACTATAAAGATACTGGAATAAGCTCGCATAAAGTGATATTCAATTAACTTTTCTTAAAAGTGTTAAAATCTCGATTAAAGTTTTCGAAAATTTCAAGCCTTGCTTGACACACCCAAAATACACAAATTAATTAAACACGCCCTGGTCAATAAGCCAAATATAGAAGTTTGTCCTTACTATCAGTTATATTTAAAATATTTCAGTAGCTGTCTGTGGGATTATTAAAGGATTCCCCTTTTTACATACGTGTGGTGACTTACAAGGCTTCATGATGAATTACGGCAGGAAAACGCCCTCCACATATCGGTCCAATCCGTCGGTTTATTCCCACGCAACGGGGAGGTATGTTTAATATTTCTACCTTAAATATAATTAAACCAAAGTAATTAAAAACATCAATTTTTAGATCCTCGACGAATTTGCACTCCAAGATGTCCCGATCAACGCGATCCGTCAGGATTCCCTGGTACCAGCGACCCCTGCTCAAAAACAATCAGTACATCGACATACAGAAAGGAGCCATGCTCATAGGATTGTTTGCCATTGTAGGATCAGAAAAACATATTAGTTAATCTCCTTATTAATGTCATGATATATCCTTTTAGTTCCTCTCACTGTTCACCATTGGCACGACCATCTTTGATATCTACTGCTATGCAATGGCTGCGCCAGGATCCACACATTATGGCTACTATATCATATCCTACGAGTTCGTCTATGTGGGCAACAAGCATGGTAAGGTTTTGGGTTGAACTAAACCCTTCTTTTAGTACTTTAAAGTTATTTTTAATTCTCTATTGTAATGTATTTCACTTTCTTCCAGTGCGCAACATGCTGATCGTCTTCGCCCTGTTCTCACTCATCATGGCCCTGGTAAACTTTGTCACCAGCATCCTTCTGTGCGTGGCTCTGCGCAAGGTAAGTTTGGTTCTAGGATCAAATATCTATAGCATGCAATTCATTTTCATTTCTCATTGCCTGAAAGCATAAAAAACTGGGAACACAGAAACGCTTACTGAGCAAAAGGGTAACCAAAGCATTCTGCACAATCATAATCAAAAAAATTGGCACTAAAAACCCATCAATTGGCAGAAGTCTTCTTGTGAAAATTTATTCTAATCCCTGTTTTTGTAATCTTATCATAGGAATACGAAAGGAAGGTTCTGCCCTGGCTGTGGACCTTCGCCATATTTACTGTTTGGAGGGCTTTGGCGCTGATTTTCTTTGCCATCGTCAATGATCTGTACTTTGCCTATAATGTAATTATGGTGCTACTGTGGAGCATTTTCTGTTTAGTGTCTATCTATGGATGGGCTGTGGTTTACTCACTGTTCCTGGAACTGGTAGATCTGACCAAACTGGAGGATCTGGCTCATTTACGCGTATGTTTACAGTACAATTACTCTTATAATATGAATAATGATACTATTACCCTTTTCAGATGGGCACAATGGCATCGCTGCACGCCTCCACCGCCAACTCGCTGGCTGGATCGCGGCCAACCACTCCTCATAGCACCGTATCAACGATGCCAGTGGGTTAATTCAAGTATTTTCCATCCATAGGGGCTCACAACGAAATTTCACAATTTAGACCGCCCGAAAAGCAGCACAAGTAAAAACCCCGATGATTCGCACTTAAACATTTATTAACTATAAACTATAGTGTACATTCCATCCACCAGTTCAGTGCCTTACAGATGCGCCTCTCAATTACCACAAATTTTTAACCGCGAATCTGCGTAATATTTTAGTTGTAAGTCGAATTCCGTCCAAACGCATATATGTTTTTGTATACTGTTGAAGAATCTCTGTCTTTATGTATGTCAACATATCGTGTTTTTTTATATATGCATATATAGATGTACAACCCGAATTGTAGCTATGTATCTAAAATATTAAGCGACAAGCAAAATACAAAATACAAAACCCAAAATATGAGTTTAACGACACCTCTCATGGGACCATTTTCCGGGCGTTAACCAAAAACGCCCACAATTCGACAGCATTTCATCTGCGTCAAATGGGAAAATTTATGTTGATAAGAAAATTCAGATGAAGTGCTTAGATCCTCCATCCTTTAAAATTTTTTTTGGAAAACATATTCAAAGTTGTAAAGTTCCCATATGTTTCAATTTATTTGAATTTAATTAAGACATAGAAACTTATATATTCATAAAGAAAACGAATCTCACATGAGAGTTCAATAACTTTTAAAATCTTACCCTTAAATAAAGAGTTTGTTTGCAGGATGATTTGGACTTTTCCCATGACCGAAAATCGAAGATGTTTCCTGCGAAACGTATCTGGAATATCCCGGACCAGTAAGTATTCCCCATCAATCTGTGGGATACAATTGCTGGACTTGTTTGCAGCATTCAAAGTCAATGCTCTTGTCATTAACACCCAAAATTATTAGCCCAACAACGCAAAGTGGGGCATTTCAAGTACACACATTTAAGCACAAACATTCGCCGTGGGATGTGCGGAGGCCAAACAAAGTTCAATCAACTGTTTTTGTTAATCATTCCTTGGATGACGACAACTCCGGCGAGCTAGAGTGGTGAATGGTTTCTATGTATTTGTTGGTGGTGATAAGCCTTCGTCGAGCTTCTTTCCCACCCTTTCCCTCTAAACATTTGAGTATCTTGAATATTTTCTCGTTTTCCAAGAGCATTCTGGTTTCCGCATCCAAGTGGGGTAATTTGAACAATTGCAATTGGAATCCAGCTGGAAAACAAACTACGTCATAGAGTGGCGAGTCTTTGAGGCCTTTGTGCTGTCTCTTTCTCAGGGTTATTTTATCTACTTGATTGGCTATTTTAAAGGTATTGAATATTTAAACACTAAAAATAATATTTTGTTTATGAAATCTTTTTACAATCGATAAACATATTTCTTTTGAATTTAATATTCCTTTTTAATCTTTATATATAAATGTCCACTGTACTTTTATTTAAAATTACTAGCTGTATTCTTTTGTCGCTCATCGTTCAATTTCGTTGTTTCTGTTGTTGGTAGAACGCAATTTGTTGCATGCGCCGTTGCCTTATCCAGTCAACAACAGCAACAAATAAAACAGCTACGCAGCAACAACAACCCCCTATAAGCCAGGCCAACAATAACAAAGTATGCGGAAAATGGGGTGGGGATTGGGTGGTGGAGGGGCAGCAGTTAGCAACGTTTCATTGTTTACTGCAGTTTTCGATTTGCTTTGCTACGCATTAAAGTTCAGCAAATTGCGTTGTCTCCAAGTCCTGTATTGGCTCTCTTTCTCTTTGCTACTTTTACTGAGCCAATGGTTTAATACCTAAATTTGAGTAGGACTATGTTTATGCGTCTGGTATTGTTTCTGAAAGAGGAAGTCTTACCACGCTTAAAACAATAAAGTTTTCGTTTCTCAAAAATAGGACACTTTGATCAAAACATTTTAAAATGATTTTATTTAAAACTTGTCTCGCATAATCCCAGTAACATTAAGTTTTCTCTCTTTCTTCCAATTCCCCATCACTCACACAGCTGTTGATCTCGAGGAACTGTAAATGCACCTGTCTCGCTCCCCAGCAGGTTGAATGCACCAAAGCGAAATGGGATAAGCGAACGGTCGAAAGAGAGGTAGAAACAGGGGGCGATTGTGTGCCAAAAATACACGAGGCTTGGCTGCTCCCTCTTTCTATCGTTTTAGAAGTGTGTGTAAGTTTGTTCTCAACTCGTTGTCCTTTTTCTCCTTTTCTGTTCTTTACGCCTGTTCAATGCACTTCTTCTTCTACCCTAGCCTTGTGCGTGTGCCCACATGTTTACATAAGTGCAACTGTGTGCACGAAACACATTCACCCTCTATTTGTAGCTCCAATTGTAAACGAATAATTATAGGCACTGAGAAAAATGATGTGATATTTGAAAACAGAAACGCCTTAAAAAGGGCAAGCTCATGAATCTTCTGGAAAAAAGAAAAAACAAATAATAAAGAATAAAAATCAACATTTCTCAGCATACTAAATTAGCCTTCCAATTTAACCTTGTCACCAAATTTTGCTACTATGTATGATTTCCCCAAATCAGGGCGCTAAATAAGATAAGCATACAGAGACTTTCGAACAGATTGGAGGTCTAAGCGAATAGCTGTACAGCTCGTCGGAGGGCAGACAGTGAACATTTGTAAGGCGCACCTTGTTATCAATCACCTCTTTTACGCATTGTTTGGTAGCCCCTTTGTATCACCTTCTCGTTTTCTCTCTTACAACTGCGTCGTTTCTTAATTTCAAGGGGTATGAGCTATAGGGGTATGGGTTATGTTAAGCTATAAGGTTTGTGGCTAAAAACCAATGGTAAACAAACTGCAATGGCCAAATGCGTTTCTGTGGCTGTAGATTCGTTGATTCACCACAGTATGTTAGACAACACCCCCGAACTCTGTTATCTTCGCCTGCAGGGCGATATTTTCATTTTTTTTCCACCTCACGCGGTTGTTATTGCTGAAAACAGGAAATAATTTTCGTTTTCTATAGAAAACACTGCTGGCAGTTGCTGTTGCGTGTCTGATATTTTATTTTTAACGCTCAGCGACTTTATACTACGTATAATGTGTATAGTATCGCTCGCATTTAAGTTTGCCTTTTTACGTCTCTCATAATTTTGGAGCTTTTCTGCTTGCAACCTTGTGCCTTAAAGTTTACAAAGTTCGTTAACATTAGCGTATTTTTACTGTCTGCCCATTTCATTTGTTTTAAAACTTTTTTTGTTTCATTTCGGCTTTATTTATCAACGCGACAAGGTTAGTGCAGAATCAATTTCGTAGGCAGCACGACCTTTGATAGCTCAAATATTTATCGTGAAACTTTAGAAACTGGTATCTACGGATCGTAAATGATACTTTATATTATTTATATAAACACGATCACGTTGAAGCCTATGACCTCTAATTAAGCGAATTCTTAGCCTCACTCTGCCTTTTCAAGTTGCTTTTGCATTTGCTTTACGAGTGATCGCAGAAAAATAACATTTAGATCTACTGAATTTCTAGTCGAAGAAATGGTACCCTGTAATATTTTTAAGTTTTTATAGAAATCATAGTATATAAAAATAAATAATTTCATAGTTAGATGTTTTAATCCAGATTACGGTGTTCTAAATAGGAGGTATTCTTTTTAAGTATTGTAAAATTAAAAGCGGCAATACTTTACTCCTGAACGAACTATTCAACACTAAACAATCGCAAAGTGACATATCATATGATTAACTTGTTTCACAAAAAGTACAAACACTAAATTAAACAACAAATGTTTTTGCAAGTATTTATTAAATTTGGCCAAAGTGAACCTCAAAACGGATATTCTCGAGGTAAGGGTGATGGAAAAACCAAATTGCAGGCCTGTTAGACTGCGGGGGAAACTCACCACGAACAGCGGACAGCCATTTCACAATATGGCACTGTTATTAAAAAGATTACAATTGGGGAAGACAAAGCAATTGGCAATCGCTGGTGATTTCAACATTAATACTTTTGTTCGCCCGTTTGGTGAACGCATAGAAATTGATATTAAAAAGATTTTTTAAAAAGTGCGCAGTTTGCATTGATGACGCAGCAGCAGCGCAGTTTGGCTCTCTATCGCTGTTAACTACGCTGTTGCTCTCTTTTTAGGCTGGCGAACAATATGGCGTCGACAAAATTGTGTCGTCGCCCAATTTAAAGTCATACGAAAACCATAAAGATTATTAAAAGCGCATTTGAAGGTTTTTCTGAAATGCTAAGTAAGCATAAATAGTCATGATTTTTGTGGCAGGGACTTTGATTTTAATTGCTCTCTCTGTCGCTGCATTGGTCTTTTGTCTATTCTCCTTTCCATTATCCCCTTCTCCGTCTTATTGTGTGTGCACTTTGCACTGTTTTTTCGTTGTTTTGTTAACGGAGCGCTGTTATGTTAACATGGTCGTGGTGTTTTTTCGTTGGAAATACGCATTTTCGACCATCTTTGCTCAGTTCACATTTAATTTATTTCCTACTTGGCTTCTCTCCGTTGACTGGCGATTTCTTTTTAGCCTGTCATCCTCACCCCTCTTATCCACTTTCTCACCACACCAGCAATCGTCGCTCTCTCTGAGTTAACATAGTTCGATTGGATTAGAGAGGTGTGTGTGAGTATGGGTTTGGTCGTGTCACGATTACGGTTTAATTGTTATCAAGATTACCACAAAATATATGAATAAAAATTAAAAAAAAGGTGTGCACTGCCTAAAATTTTTTAAAGAATATTCAATAATATACTTAAAAATATTTAAACAATAATATAGGAATTATATGCTATAAGAGTTGATATGTAAGTGAAATAAAACTTTGGTTGATCTAGAGTCTAGACCTAGTTATAGAAGTAAATTACAAATTTCAAATGTCTTAAAGCTCCGATTTTTGTATTTTCTGTATTAATAATACAGTAATAATATGTATAAAGCCGTAACATTAAATTCACCTCTCACGCTGCTGCCGCTAGATTCCCACCTACAGCGCGCTGTTCACTCACCACTCGCTAGCTGCTAGCGCTGCGACGTCCGCTCATTTCAGTTCGAGTGCTTGGAGACTTCACTTCGCGTTTGGAGGATCAGATCCACGTTGGTTTTTGGCTTCAATTACCCACAACTGTCATCGTCAGTCAGCTCAGCGACTTGCTAACTAAGCTAAATAACAAAAAATAATCTTAATAAAACCGCGCTCCCCTCCTCTCTCTCGGTCGTGTTTGTGCGCTCCGCGATTAAAATAAAGCAAGAAAAGAAATTGAAAAGCACAAGGAAAACTAGCAGAGTTTTCCTCTCGCAGCTGAGAAAAACCGCAGGACGCAGCTCAGCAGCGTCGTCGTGTGCGTTGTGCCCAAGAAAGAAAAAATCTTGAAAAAAAGAAATCCTGTAATTTCGCAGAAAAACCGTAAAGCGCCACATTAAACGAGATAAAAAAAACAACTGCTTCGTGCACCATTTTGTGATATATTATTTGCCCTCCTCCTACTTCTTCTTCAACGATCCCTGTGCAATTCTCTGTAAAAAGATAAATTTAAAATAATTACTAGCAACCAATTGAATTTCTGCGAGACCAACATATAACACACACACATATAAATTTCCAACAACTGTGATCCGAACAAAGCTCTAAGTTTTTGTTTCAAGCCTGTGTAATTTCCAGCCCGAAAAACGAATTGGAAAAAAAGTAAGTGAATTTAAACGAGAAAGAAAATTATAAATTATTTCGTTTTCCTCTTCGATGGCCTACGTTGCTAACTCACCACTAGTCGATTCCCCACGCTCTCTCTCTCTTCACCACAGTCACCAATACACACGGCTATGCCTACGTCACATGTGCGTGTGTATGTGTGTTTGTGAGTTTAGTCGACTAGCGTTGCCATGTCGCGCGGAATACGAAAAAAGAGGAACAAATAAATAAATAGCAGTTATAAGAAATGGTTAAAAAGTAAATGTAAGAAGGAAAGAATAGTAAAGGAATTAGGGAGTAGCTAGGAAAAATGGAGTTTAAAGTTAAAAACTTTAAAATATAGAATAGAATCAAGGACAAAGAATGAAAAAAATTACTTGGCTAATTATCATTTAAGAATGCAGTTAATTAATATCAGTTTGATAGTGAAGAGAAAGGGAAGAAAAAACAGCTTAATTCTTTGTTCCTTAATCTCAATTTCATTCAGTGCAGCTGTCCAACTTTTTTCTTGGCTTCTTTGCCAACAAAATATTACGTTTTGCCAAAAACCAAAGACCCAAAATCAACCACAAATTGTAGACTTTGAAACGAAGGACGTTTCTGCTGATAAGTGGAAAATAAATGACTGATAGCTCAAGTACAAACACGCACCGAAAAATATGTACTTATACATACATACCCTTAGGCTATCTCCAAATTTAAATAACATTTTCCGCATTATCGCACTGACTGAAGAAATGTCTTTATCTGCACACTCCACTCCTCAAACTTGTATTTAATTTGTCTCTTTTTTTTTTTTCGCCTGCAGTGCGTGACTGGAATTTTTGCTCAGTCACTTATTTTTCTCGTATGACTCATAGACCCGTATAAATATATATATAGCCTATGGCGAATTCGAATTATCTATGGATTAGGGATTACAGATTCTTATCAGCAGCAAAATGCATAGGGGTTTACTTTGGGTGCATTGACAACCCTGATTTTAGGATGGCGGCCCAGCTGACTTTGTCTTTGTTTTTTTTTTTCTATTTGTTTTTTTCAATTTTTCTTGGTGAGTCATTTGCTGTTTTTCTTTGCAAACTCCAGCTCACCTTGTAACAATTATAAAAAGCACATATTTGCCTGTGTGTTTGCTGTATTTATTTTTTTCTTCTGTGTTTGTTTTTCCTTTTGCATCCCACACACGTGTCGCGTCTTTTTACTCTGTGTGTGCTTTGGACTTTACATAAAGACCGATTTTTTTGTTTTTTATTTTTTTCGTTATCACCTAGGGGCACGTTTTCTGGCATATGCACATTTTGATTGCCCACTATCAAGCACTTTTTTAGTGCCTGAATTAAATGACGACTTTCTTGAAATTTCTGCGGACTATTTCGCCATTTTCAGTCGAAATTTTGTGAAGAGAGATAACAGTCGAAAAATGGAAACGTATAAAGCGCTAATTATTTGTGATTGGCTCGGTAAACAAACATGTTTTCGAGTGAATCAGAAAGCCAAAGCCAAATAGTCGATGATATGGAGTAGGAAACACTTGAATACATTTTAGCTGATCTGCTTTCAAGGTGGATTTCTCTAAAATTAAGACAGCCAAAGCTAAATTATACACTTGAAATCAAAAATTAAATCAATTTGTTCATTTTTCTCTGGAAAATATAATAATAAAAACTTATTTTTCTACAAAGCTAGCAAATTTGATAAGAAATAACCAATTTATTTGATATTTCCTGATTAATCGCCTTTTTACTTATCAACATTAATGATTCATGGAACGATATTGTTTGTCACGAATGTTTGAGAACTTTCCCGATCATGATGAGTGACTAATTGTGTTGTTGGCAAAAATGGCTTTAAATTCTTGGCAAGTCGCAAAACAACAACACGTGTCGTTGTCTCGCTAATATCTAAAATTATATAAAAAAAAATTTTATTTTCTAGCGAAAACACACACAAATGCAAAGCGTTCAAACAAGTTTTTGACGTTCAAAAAAAAAAACGAAAAAAAATGTTTTGATGACGGGTGAAAATAAAATTGACTTAATATATACACAAAAACAAACAAATAGCCACACACACGCATTTATCTTGTGTATATGTATATGAAAGCTATCATCTCCCCGCCTCCTGACTTTTATTTTCCCCCCAACTTTGTATTCTTCCTCTACTTTGGCTAAATGCTTTTATATAAACACTAAAAATTGATAAGCGAACGAGACGTCGGACGCGTGAATGGCCGCGGCCTCATTTTTTTTTCGTTCATTTGCTTGTTGTTTATAGGTCGCGTGTAAATGGATGCCGCACACCCGTCCGTCCTCTCCTCCCCCAAAGCCTTAAAAAATTAAACCCGATGCCAACCATCCACCCACCATATGGCCAGACGATCGAGAACATCGGATAGGATCGTACATCGTACATCGTACATTTTCGGGCCTTTTTCATTATCTTTTGTTGCCGTTTTCGAAATGTTTTGAGCAGAGCGCTATTTTTAGTACTCTAATCCCCTATACTTGATCTTCTTTTTGTCGGCTGTCATTGGTTTCTCTCTTGTTTTTTCACTCGTTTTAAGTTATGCAATTTTTTTTGTTGTTGTTTGTCGCTCCATTCTGAAATACAGTTGAGGTCAAAATGGTAGGAAAGTTATGGAAAGAAAAAGTAAAAAACAGGATTTTTCTTCATAAAAATTAAAGGATAACTAAACTAAATAAAGATAACTACTTTTTATTACTAGTATTATTTTGAAATCAACTTAAGCTCCTATTATCTTGAACTCTATTGTGTTTGTGCGTTGGGGATAGACTGTACTGAACGTCGACATCGATCTCAATACAATCCCATTGAAAATGGGTATTAAGTTATGCACATATATCGGTGCTTTTATTTATTTATTTTTTTTTTGGGAACACAATTACTGCGATAAAATGCGGGCATAGAAGGTTTCAATGTAAATTAATTTCGTGTCTGCATAAATTGGCTTTCTTCATCAATCAACCTATACATGTGTGCAGTTTATTCCCAGAATTTTCTTTATCTAATACGAAAGAGATTTTTGGGTATAAATAAATAAATTCGTATATGTTGATTGTTTATTGTCTGGCAGGAAAACAAAACGGAAATAGCTGAAAAAAAAAAATAGAATAGGTAGTATATTTAGGTCAAATAATAAATTGTCTGTATTTTATTTTTTCGCATTTTTATGATTGTGAGAGTGCAAGTCCTTGAGCCAGAAGGTCCTTGTCAACGAAATTGGGCCTTGATTGTTACCAACTGTTCGACTTTAATGCAATTTTAATTTCCTGGCTCTGTTTGTGTGTATACTTATGAGGAAACCACAAAAACGAATAAACATGAAATCATATAATACGTAAAAAATCGAGCCACAAAGCGAAGAGATATAAAAGCCACCAACAAAAGCAACAAAAACAACAACAGCAACTGGCTCACCTTGTGGTCAAGAGCTAAAAATTTTCTTTCTTCCCAACATCGATTTTCCCATCGTCGACGTCGTCGTCTAACCTTTCTTTTTGCCGCCTCCCCACTATTGTTATCTATTCGACGCTAGTTTGTTTTTCCTTTATTTTTCAATTTTCTCCAATTTGTTGTACAGGTTTTTGTAGTTGTTGTTTTTTGTTTGTGGGAATCGATTTAGGCGCTCGATTGGCTTTAGTTTGTGAACCTGCCCACCCTCCTTCCGCCCACAAATTAAAGTTGTTGTGCCTGCAAAAAAAAAAACCAAGAAAATAAGGAGAAAAGCTCTTCGTCGCCAGCGAATTTAAATCGGCATTGCTGCTAGCTTTTGTTGTTGTAGTTGTTGGATTTTCCTTTATTTTCCTTGGGTTTTTCCTTTATTTTCTCAATGCCTGTGGCGCGCATATTCACCACATCTGGCAACCATGACAACCGTTAAACTCACTCCCCCACAAAAAGCAAAAAAGGAAGAAAAAAAACCGTTAGCCAGACAAAATGAAAAGCGAAACTTTTGGCCCAGCCTTTTCTTTTGTGCGCTTCCTTGCAGCTGATGATGGCGATGACGATGGCGATGGCGATGGCTGCCTCGCCCTGTTCGCTGGACTTGTTCTTTGTCTCGCGGCTTGGTGTCTCTTCAGTTCATTGGCTCTTCTTTTACCAGAAGAAAATGAGAAGAAAAGAAGCGAATTTGTAATGCATAAATCAATAAAATCAACGATGCTCGCGCTGGCTGAGCTTGCTGCAGCTGGGTTCAAATGTAAGCGCGCGCCACCGCCCAAATATCAAGTCATCATCTCATCTTGGCTCTGACTCAGCCTCAGCCTTCATCTCATCTGGTCTGGCTGGCGAATAATACCCTCAGTTTCCCTGACAAAGTTCAAGCGCCAACGGCAAAGTTCAATAGCACAAAATGGCAGTTGCAAAAGTATATTTCTCGTATTACAGTCGAACTTCCCTAAAGGCAAACAAAGAGAAATGCTTTATGGAGGTTTTGGATTAGCACAACATTAAGTATAGAAACTTAAATGGATGTTAAATTTCCTTAATTTTATATTCTTATAATAAAACCATTTTAAAGGCACTTTAAAGTTCAAGTTAACGATGGTCGACTGTTTTTTCATCTGGCTTAAATCCATCCCATAACTCAAGGCTTCCGCATCTGTCATTGTTTTCGTTTTCGCATTTTCCGTCAGTCTGTCTGTCTATCAGTCTGTCAGTCAGTCATTTAAATGACCAAAGTCTACTCTACACTCACTCGAGAGTTGATTTTCAAAGCTCAACGAAGATATTATAAAGAGTCTTTGAACGGCCTTCGGTTTTCTACACACATACATATATAGCCAAAGCAACAGCCAAAGCCAGATCTTAGGTTAGAGACATCGACTGAGAAAGAGAGATACTTCTTCTTTGTCTCGAAAATATATATCTTACCTTCCTTTTTCATTTTTCTGTTTGTTTTGTTTGTTTTGCTCCTTTGTGCACTTACTTTTTGTGAATTCTATAAAACTGGTTTCTTTTCGGCGATGTGGTTTTGT